AGAAATACTGGGTAGCTTATGCAGACTAGTTGTGTACAGTGACTTCTGTTAGCCAGCTTAATGGCAGTGCTATACGCGAGACAGAAAACACTTCATCAGTACGTGCAAAAATTCAAGACGAACTTAACCATTTATACGGATAAACTTTTGACATTATGCCTGATACTATATCCACTTATCGTATTTTGCTCGACTTCTGCTAAGTTATGGCAACTCCTGCATCTAACGCCAACGGGAGTACTAGTTATTGTTTTTTTTGTCAAAAGTAGAAAATAACTACGTTGTTGAATGAAATAGCGAAGTATCGTCGTATGTCTCGTGAGAATACATAGTTATACTTGCTCAAAAATAGGTATTGCGCATTTTCAGTTCGTACGTTTCTGTTATATTTGTAGAATCTTTATAATTCCTGCTCTGCTCAATCACAAATAACGTTTGCAAGTTTATTTTGCTGTACTTTGTCTCGTCCATCTTGTACTTGGATATAGGCTTTTGCCCAATCTTGATTTGCGAGCGATTTCAATGGATAGTTTGTATATCAAATGATTGAATGTTTATTTCTGTTGTTATGGTGGTTAAATAGAACGCTTGACGTAATTTTCTGCTCAGTTTATGTTAAAATCGATTGTGCTCTTATCTTGCGATATTTTACTTGCAAAATTAACATACTATTTCCCATTTTTCTTTGCTTTTACTTGTTTACTGAAAAGTTTCTCTGGGGCTGTTTTAACTGCGCCTTATTCCGATATAGCCCTTTTTATGCGTCCGATCACGTCATTCTTTAAATGCGAATTGCCTTTTGAATAATTTCTAAACCATCATATCTTTTTCTGAAATATATACAAATTTTGAACTTATCTTGTGAAATTAAATTTAAACTCATGCTAGCTAGAGCCTTTTGATCATTACTGGTTTTATTGGACAAAAATCTCACTCAGTGGTTCACTTAGATCCAAAATTAGTTGAAATCCGTAAGTCGTCTCTAAATACATGTCACCGTCACGCGGAGGCGCAATGACGAACACGAAACCATTGCTTCCGAGGCCAAAAACACGCACTCTGTAGGAACGTGATGCCACTAAACCCACGATAAACTAAAAGCGCGTGAGATAATTTATAGTGGCCAGTATGCGCGGAGTGCCATCGGAATGCAGGCCCCCACAGTCGAACTCGCTCCGAAACAAATGGCTGGCAAAACTGCAGGAGTCAGTCTACGTGAGAGCGTAACAGTGGCCACACGAGAGGTGCCTCTCCTGTCAAGAGTGACAGCGGACGGCTTCGTGTACGGTGTTGGTGAGGAGATGAGAGATGAGATTACCGCAGAAGCGCATAATGGCGCATATGACCGATTGCGCGTGTGTACTTGGGTAGTGAGGGAGGAAATCACTGTCCAAGACAAGGGTGACTGACGTGGTTATTTCTGGCTTATTGGTCGTCATTAGCCAGGCATGCAGCCCCAAAGACCTGGTCATTGAGCCTCAGGTAGTAGAGGACGCTTATTGATCGCCCTTGTCGTTTCAAAAGGGGTTTGACTATGG